GAGAGAGAGAGAGAGAGAGAGAGGGAGAGAAATAGAGTGGACGAGGTTCGCGCCATTTCACTCGTATACGCGTTACGTCCGAAGTTTCAGTTTTCGGGTTAAGATATTCTCTCGCGCGACGTTTCGTGGACAATGTTGAAATCTTTGTGAATTACGATCCCAGTTTCAACGCCAGTTACACAACCGTATATTGTGACAACACGGGTGGGAAGAGAGGGAGGAGGGGTCAAAATCTTTCCCACTCGGTTCGGGGATAGAATGGTTTCTGGAATCGATAACACCTATCCTCCACTGTTTTTTCCTTGTTTTTTTTTTTTGTATCCGTTTTTCGTGCATGTAGAATAGAACGCAAAAAAAAAAAAAAAAAAAGAAAGGTACACGATTATTTTTTTGAACAATGAAAGAAACTTGCTTTTAATTTTTTTTTTCTTTTCAGATTTAGATGGGATTTTTAATGGAACATAAAAAGTCAAAAGTACGCGATTATTTTGAACAGTGAAAGAAATTTGATTTTTTTTCTTTTTTTTTTTGAAATTGAATATGAGTCAGGATGAAATCAAAATCGTGTGTGTTTTATGCACGTTGAATAGAATCGTACAAAATCAACGGTACACAATTATTTCGAACAGTGAAAGAAACTTGCTTTTGATCTGTTTTTGGAATTGAATATGAGTCATAAAATTTAAAATCGTGTGTGTTTTATACATGTAAAGTAAAACGCAAAAAATCAAAGGTACACGATTACTTTGAACAGTGAAAGAAACTTGCTTTTGATCTTTTGGGATTAAATATGAATCACAAAAATCAAAATCGTGTCCCACTTTCGAAAACAGTATATTTTCTGAAATAAATAGTATCTACGTATTTTTGCTTGTTTTTGTGTCTGTGTTTCGTACATGTATACATATATATATATATTAATAAATAATTATTAATTGAAAGAAACTTACTTTTGATCATTCGGAATTGATTTTATCAAAAAATTAACTTTTAGGAGGATTAAAATTAATCCTCGTTTTCCAAATGCAAGGTCTAAAAATTTTCGAGTCAAGTGAATTTTTTTCAATGACGTTCAAACAGTTCCGCGACGCAATCCCGTTTCATTCTACTTTCCACTACATTCTATTCTAAATTTAATTCAAATTCCTTCATCGATATCTACTATAAAAAACGATTATCCCCGGGAATATTTTCCCGGCTTCGTAAAACGGATCGTGGATCGGCCATAAATCGGACAATACGTTCGCGAAAGGTAGAAACTTTGGGGAATCTAGAATTTTCCATGGATTTTATTTGTCTGCAAGTCGGTCGATTTATCCGCTCGTACATTTATCTTTAAATTCGATTTCCGAT